AAAATTCCATTTTTCCTCGTGAAAGAAATAAAAATTCTCAATTTACTACCTAAATAATTAATTTTTTCACATTACCTCCACACAAAAATAAAAACGTTGTAATGTGACCTACCATCTTATTTTCATTTGGTCGTCCGTTTTTTTTTGTGATTCCAATCAATCAAAAATCACAAAACAAAGGAATGACCAAATAAAATAAAATATTTTTATTTTTTTAGGTGGCAATGTGAAAACATTAAAGAAAAATTTCAACCACACCCCCTCTAGTTGACTATATCTTCAAGGATATCGCCTCTATTTTCTGAATCTTCACTGACACTCCCTATCAGATTAAAAATATTAACTAGAATGCAATTACTAAATTACCCATGATATATTTGAAGACAAACTTCATTCACACTCCTCTAGATAAGCATATCTTCAATGAGATCCCCTCTGTTTTTTAATTTTTTTTACGTATTAAAACTCGGGTCGATTAAAATTCGATTCAAGATATTTAAAATTTATTTTTTTACATTTTAAAATTTGATCCGATTAAAATTTATATTTTTTACGTATTTAAATTTCGACTAATTAAAATTTTATTTGAGCCAATTAAAAATTATTTTTAATCGACTAAAATCAAATTTTAATTCACTCGCATTGAATTTTAATTAGCCCAAATTTTAATACATAAAAAAATATAAATTTTAATTGACTAAAATTTTAATAAATTGAATTTTAATTGACAAGAATTCTAATAATTAAAAAAATATAAATTTTAATCGACTTCAAAGCGAATTTTAATCGATGCTAATAACTCGGGTAGAGTTCAAATCGGCTCAAATTTTAATATGTAAAAAATAAATTTGAATAAGGTCGAATTTTAATATGTTAAAAAAAATAAAGTTTAATCAATTTCAGTCGAATTTTAATTGGTTCAAATTTTAATATGTAAAAAAATAAAATTTAATTTGCTCAAATTTTAAGAAAATTTTATGTAAAAAATTTGCTTGAGGTTTATGTAGGGACATTTTTGGTATTTTAGATGAATGTTGTTTTTTAGAAATGATAGTTTAATAGTATTGGGTGTTAGTGATATTTAAATATAAAGTAGAAAGAATGTCAGTGATGTTTTTTATAATAGAGGGAATATCCTTGAAGATATAATTAAATAGGAGGGGTGTGGCTAAAAGTTTCCTAAAAATTAATAAATTTTGAGAGTAAACTAAAATTTTTTATATCTTTCATGTGCAAAATGGGATTTACCCTTAATTAAATTTGTTAAAATCCGGATAAAATGTTTAATTCTTTTTTTTTTTTTGTGACTTGAAATTTTGATTAATAATTCATTTTCTTTTTCTCTCTGTTCCCCCCCTTGTTCAAGGATTCAAAAAAGAAGAACTGAAAGTGCAAATCTCCAATCTGGGAATGATAAAAATCTCCGGCGAACGTCAGGTGGATGCGACAAAACGGAGCCGCTTCTACAAGGTAGTCCGAGTTCCAAAGGACTGCAATGCAAATGGAATTCGTGCAAAGTTCATCAATGGACGTCTACATGTCATAATGCCCAAAAAAACAATTGAAGAAAATCAACCTGTAACAACCCAACCTGACAAATCTCCAGTACCGCAGACCGGTGAAGATCAAGCCACTAAGAAAGCTGCTACCTCGCCGGAAACTGGGAAAGCCAAGGAGAAGATGAACATGCCACCATCTCAGAATGAGGCACCAAGGGGGAATTCATTCACAAACTCTGAGATTCAGCAGGAACAATCTGGTACAAGGTTGAAGAAATTTAACAAGGTGGCGGTGAGCGTTGCAGCGGTGGTGATGGTGGCGGCGATCGGTGCTTATATTATAAATCTTTGGAGGAATGTGGACGTAAAATGGGGTGAATCTTACTAACCTCAATGTTTTGTGGTCGTATACGAGAATGATTGTGTTTATGTAAATAATATCAAAGAGTAAATCTATGCACAATCAATTTCTCCTCCTTGCTATAACTTAAAAGATTGAATACCCAATTACAGATTATTGCAAAGAATATAATAGGGTCAAATTATACGAACATTTCCTGACATTTGATTTTAGGGAAAATTACATTAAGACGTTCTGAGGTTTGTCACTTAATCACTCAGACTCTCTGACATTTAAAATATTACACACAGAACTCCTAAGGTTTGTACACGAGTAACACTTAGACCCCTGATGTAAATATATCATTTAATAAATTACACTTAGACCCTCTTAAAATTTATAAGTATATAATACTTAGACCCATTGAATTTAAAATATTATACTTAGACCAAAAATATTTTAATCAAATATAGATTATCAAATATTTTAAATTTTACAACAAAAATTCATATTCTATTGTATCATTTATTAAAATAAAATTAAAAATAAAAATTTATTTTTTCTTAAAAAATCGTAATTAGTATAAAATTATATTATATATTAAAATAAAACTAAAAAATCAAACAACGAGTCAAATTGTAATGGACACAATATATTTTAGCTTTAATTGGAGTAGTTTGGTATTTTATTGATTGTTTAAACGACCAAATTAAATTTTAATAGACAATATAATTGTAAATTAATTATGATTTGTTAAGAAAAAAATTGAATTTTTATTTTTGATTTTATTTCAATAAATGATACAATAGAACATAAATTTTGATTGTAAAATTTAAAATATTTGATATTTTATCTTTCATTGAAGTATTTTTATCTTTGATTGAAGTATTTTTTATCTAAGTATAATATTTTAAACTTAAGAGGTTTAAGTATTATATACTTACAAACTTTAGGGGGTCTAAGTATAATTTATTAAATGATATATTTACATTAGGGTCTAAGTGTTACACGCGTACAAACTTCAGAGAGTTTATGTGTAATATTTTAAATGTCAGGAGGTCTGAGTGATTAAATGACAAACCTTAAGGGGCTCTTGTGTAATTCTCCCTTGATTTTATTATTCAGACACTCCCTCATGTGTTCCAAAATTACACCAAACCCCTTAATATTTAATATTTGTAACAACCATACCCCCTCTAACTAACGGATTATTCAGGGTCAAAGTTGATATCATCAACAATGATTCCTAGAATACCAAAAATACCCTTCAAATTAAGTTTAAGAATTCAAATAAATATTTTTCTTACATTACAAATTTACCCAACCTCTCATTTATTTTTTTAATCCATATATTTCATATATAAATTAAAATTTATCATGTCATTTGGGATTCAATAATTGACTTAGACTTTTTTATTTGGTGTCATGTCATTTGGGTTCCAAAAAAAATTCTAAATAATATGTTTTCATATTATTTAGGCTCCAAATTTTGTCCTAAAATTTGATCAATATAGCATTACTCGACTAAAATAGAGTTAAACCCAAACAAAGCTTGGACTTTTTGCCCTATAAGTCCTAAAATATGGATCAGCCCCCAAATTTATCTAAATTCAATATCTATTTTTTACACTTTCAAAATTATTAATTATGTGTTTTGAAATACGATTTGGATACAAGATGTGAGTTCGATACGTTATAAACACAGTGATACATTAAAATAAAAAAAATAGAATATGAATACAATTACGATACATCTCTAGTAAAATATATTTTGTGTTTTTACTATGATGTAATTATTAGTTTTACTTTCAACTAAGCATAGATCTCATCGTATTATACTTACATAGTGAATGTGTCAAATTTAAGAAACAAAAACCAACATTTAATTAATTGATTTACTTAGAAGTACTTGTTGCTAAGAAATATGATGTAATTAACCTATTTTATATCCTTTTGATATGTAATACACTGATAGTACCAAGGGCAGAGGGACTTAGGGAACAGGGGGCCACGTGGCCACACTGAAAAAAAAAATTAAAAATTTCACTTTTTGTATATTTATGATTTTTTATTAGGTAGTTGGAATTAGGCCCACCCTTATGACCAAAAACCAAAAATATTTGACCACTCTAACAAGTTTGGATCAACTAAATCTTGTGCAAAAAAAATAATCTGGCACATTTTTTACTCAAAAAAATGTGAAAATATGTAAAAAAGTTGTGATTAGTGATTGAGCATATTTTTTCGATAACTCTCAATCTTATGATATTCACAATTGTTTGAAACTGCTATAAATTTTTTAAATTGATGTGACTTAACCTGAAATTAATAACTATTAACTTAACTACTCTTATAGAGAAAGACATTTTCGATAATATTATTAATAACGTTATCATACAATACTTTCAAAGTATGAAAAATTGTCAGGGTCCACAGTATATAGTTGTAATTAGCCTCACATTTTGCAAAGGGTTATAATTAGTCTCTTTTTATTGAGTATTGTTTGCATAGACCATGTATATTGGTATTTGATCCATTTGTATTTAATGAATCTTTAAATTTGCAACACGATTTAAAAAAAAAATGTACCACAATACTTTTTTTGAGTGGAGAAAAGATTAAATTTTGCTGGTTAAGTGTACCCCTAGAACAATTTTTTGACTCCGCCCCTGGATAGTAGTCTTCAAAGTCCTCTGAATTTTTCGTTTTGCTTATTTGTATTTAAATTTGAGAGGAAACGGTAAATATTAAAATTTACACATATTGCTATGTGTATCCATTTTTTATATGAGAGTGATATTAAACTTGGATTTTCATATCTATAAATGGATGTGTGAAATATGTATTCGACACGTATTCAAAAATAAAAAATATTTTATTATTTTTTAGATACGTCTAATGCGTACTTGATATGTATGCTTCAACATATGTCTAATGCGTATATTTCAAAAAAAAGTCAATTACCATCAACAGAATATTACTGCAAGAATTAAAATTTCATACAAAATCTGTCATCACAAAACGAAAGAGAGTACACGACAAATACACGAAAAAATAACATAATATAGGAAAGCAACTACTATGAATGACCTAGTAGTTGCACAAATTAAGCAATCAGCCCCATGGCAAACATTATATATGCTTATGTGAAAACCTCAAAACTAAACACCAAAAGACAGCAGAACTGCAACCACCACCACCATGAAAGAGTGAAACATATTGACAATAATTCCATTCGCCATATTCGAGTAAGGCATGGCTTGAGAAGGGCCATAGGTCATAGAAGGATAAACACTTGGAGCTGGTGCCATAGAGTTCACAGTGATGGCCAGTTTTTGACCGGCAAGAGCACAGTGCTGAGCAACACCACAGATGTACCATTTCCGCCCCGGGGTTGCGAGCACGATCGTGTCATTTCCGGTGGTTAGAGCTTCCTTCAATGGTGGCTTTGTGCAGTACTGAAAGCCAGTTCCATTGACCTTGAAGACGTTATGAACTCCCTTTGGATATTGGAAAACTGCATATTTCATTGAAACAAACATTTGAGTAAACTACTTAGGTTTAATGCACTAATGCCATACAACAATGCAACATTGACATATCAACCCCAATCTAATCTGAAGTATTCAGTGTTTTGTTAGATATTTTCAGTATTCGGGTAAAAAAAATCCAACTCGGTTTTAATTTAAAGCCTTGAGTTTCTAAGACCTAACCCGGATGGGACTTGTATATTAGTGTAAGTTGTGAATCCAGAGAACTAGTCCTAAAAAAAAAAATCAGTATCATACCTCTATTTATCACATTTGTGGTTTTTTTATTTTATGGGTGTTTCTACCACTATTGTGGTACCCAAAAAAATTGGAAAAATAGTTATCGTAACAGCGGTAAATACCACAAATATGGTAAAAACACCCAAAAATGTGATAAAAGTGGTAAAAATAATTTTTACAAATGTGGCAAAAATAACAACAACAGTGATAAAAATATCTATGAATGTGGTAATTCATCCACAAATGTAATAATTTTTTTAGTTATAAAATGACCAACAAAAGTTATAAAAATACTCATTAAAGTAGTAAAAGTTGGAGGTACGATACTTAAATTTTTTTCTTCGATACTGTAGTCAAGTCGTTCCATTGAACTCAACTTGACACTAAATTATAGAGGGATAAAGCACCAAATTTTGTTATGTCTCATCTCCTATCAAATATATTTAATTAATAAAATTGTACCGGCTTAACACAATAAAAATCATATATAGACATATTTATGTAGTCATAGGAACAAAAATGAACACCAAACCACACAAATAACATAAGATCATGATCAAAGTAGAGAGATGTAGGTAGCATACTTAGTTTGTCTCCAACCATAAAATTTTTGCCCATTGCCCACGCTTGATAATCAAAATTTATGGTCCACCCCGCTTCATCTCCCACAATAAAGTCCGTGGCAAAGGCGACCACCGGAAAAAGTACTACGAGAACGATGAAAACAGCCCTAGAAGCCATTAGAATGGTAGCCAAAAATAAGAAAAAAATAAGTTTATGTGGGTACCAAGCAAGTGTATTGAAGAAATTGTATTGGAGTTGTGCATGGAGAGCAAAGAGAGATGTTCTATTTATAGTTAGTTTCCAATGGGACTGCTTTGTATAACCTATGTGGGAATCAAATAGAGGTCGGCTTGGTTATGTAGAACCAGAGAGGCTGTGTCATGAGTGACCGGCCATGGACTGTAAATCAAGAGAAAAAGGTCTGTTTTTTTGGTGGTTGTAAGAAAGAATGTTTCTAACAAGGCTTTGCCTGCCGTCTTGTGGAATTACCAATGCTCATATATACATTCCAAAATAGTTGGTTCATATTGTTCTACCATTGTGATGCACAAGATTTATATATATTAAATTAATTCACCATTTGTTTAGCGGGATAATGGCGAAAAATGTAAGAAGAAGAATTTTTAAAAAAAAATTCATGTATTTAGTTAACATGAAATGGAAAATGATGGTAAAAAATATATTTCTTGTAAAAAACACAAGAAAATGCAAGAAAGTTGCGAGTTGTAACTAACTTATTATTTTATTCTTATTTTTTAAAATTCTGTTAGTTATTAAGTTTAAAAACTATTGGTATGGATTTGGTTAATCATATAATTTAGTCGTGCCAATGCTTGTCCCAGAATTAGATTAGGAGTCACTTTTTTAAAAAAAAATTTAAACTTTAATTATAATACATATTTTTCTTCTTTATACCGATTTAATATAATTAAGGATAATTTAAGTAATTAGAAAATTTTCTTATAACTTTCCAATTTTTCAAATAATAAAATGAATTTAAAAAAAAAAATTGGGCAAGGTTTTCATGCTAATCAAATACATGCATGTAGAAATGAATAGTAAAGTTTGACATTTAAACGAGCTTTAAATAAAATCCAAGCTTCATTTTTATTATTCTAATTTGCCACATGCTATTTACAGTATAATAAGGTTGCAATAAATAATTAACATAAATACCAAATTTGTCCATTCGCCTAGGATCCTTCAACTTAGACTTGTTCAATTTTTAAAGGGTAAATTATACCAATAATCTTTGAGATTTGTCATTAGTCGCACTTTGATTTTCAAATTTTAATTTTATCAATTTAATCCTTAAAGTTCATACATTCGAAAAAAACAATCCTCGGCTCTAACTGTCGTTTAAAAAATTGACGAAAAATGTCGCACTCCTCAATTTTGTCATAAATAATAGGGCATACATGAAAAACAAAATAACTCCCAAAAAAAAAACTCAATATCACACATTTACCCCTGGCGACAGCCGCGACACCCTCTTCCCCTATCCCAAAACTTTGTCGGCGACAACCTGAACACCTGGCGTCCACATCCATTCCACTGCCCTTTCCCCCTATACGTCTTAGCATCGGCAACCACCTCCCAACTTTTTCTCTCTGTAAGACTTCACTGATGCTATCCATATTCCACCGCTAAAATCCATCGCCACCATCAACCTCTCTCTCTCTCACGCACACACATTCTCAACGCGTTAAACACAAAAAAATACTGATGGGACATTTTCGAAATACTCCAATATGAAGACACGTGTCCTCGGTGTCACTAAAAACCTGTTACTGAGATCACGTACCATCGGCTCACAAAGTCCCTCTCCCCCGAGGTACTTTTGTCATAGGGATCAAGTGGCATCCAGTAAGTTTACGAACCAACACGTATCCCTCGGTCTGATATGGGTACATCGGTCGCTTTATCCACCTCCTCCTCGGCTCCGAGATGAACTTCCCCCTCGGGTCCGAGATGTACCTCCATCCAGGATAGCGTTCTCTGCTCCTACAGAGGCTATTGATGTACAAGTCACTAGCCTAGACTAGGCTAGGTTAGCTATCATGACCTCGTCTTACACAATTGGTGTCAGAAGGCATAGGAAGGCAGGGGCAACATCCAATGGGGAATGGACGCGTGGCATATTGTGTCATATCAGAGACAGAAAGACCGCATGCCTTTGCTGACACATGACTTGGGAAAGCAAGCATTTAATTACACCATTCCCTTGATGAGACTGCATTCAATGCGGTAAGGCTCAGAAGTGAAAGGCAATAAATGTCTCTAAGGCTGGGCATTTATTACATCCTCCCCGAGAGGAGCTCATTGAACCGTCGGCAGGCCGATGACACAGTCTTGATTGCTCGGGGTCCCGAGCAGTTAAAAGAGAAGACATTCCTCGTAGGAATCAGTGCGCACGTTGTCTGTATCTAATGATCACCTACTGACCACACTGACAGTAATCATGAGTATTTGAGGTATAAATACTCCTCACTAAAGGCAAGACAAACGAGGTGAAACCTTTGCTACAAATTATACTCAGTGTTTTCTTCTTCCTCTCTCTCAAAAACTGACTTGATCGTTGGAGGGGATACGCCGGAAAACACTCCGGCGCCCTTCTAACTTGTTCTTCTTTGTTCCAGGAACCTTTCTTCAGCCTTACTGGATCGTTCCATTGATCCACGAGGGTCTCCCATTACCGTTTCAGGTTACCACCGGACCTCACAGGCTGTTCCAAGTAGCGGGGTTGACCACTCGACTGACTCACTCGAGTTCACCAAGGGAGAGATCTGTTCTCGTATTTATATTGTGCAAGATCCAGCACGCACAATCTGGCGCCGTTTGTGGGAAACGACTAGTTTTCCTAGTTTTTTCTCTATAAAGAACAGTGACCATGGTGAACACTTGACAAAAAGGGAAAGGTCCCCACCAAAGAAGTCTTGAATTACAAGTTCCCTGTCACCATGGAGGGAGGGATCACACTGATGGGAATAAGAATGTCTCTACTCAGTCAAGAGGGGTTACCCCTCAAACCAGTATGAGAATCAGATCAGGAGGATCAGCCCGCTTGGCTCGTCAGCTGGCGGAGGTGATCAAAGAAAAGTTTGGCGATAGATTACGACAGCTGAAAAAGGACAATGTAAACATCCTAAGCCGGCTCAACGAATTTGTCGCCTCCGGCGAAGGGTCGAGGGACTCATTCCTTTCTCGTTGGCTCCCCGCCCGGGAGGCAAAAACGAAGGATCTAAGGAATCATCTAAACAACAAGGCAAAAAGCTCCAGGGCCCCAAAACGACCGAGAGCCAACGAGCACCCTCCTAACGACCATTCAAGGAAGGCAAGGCCATTAGCCCTGGACGACCTCCGACGAGGATTGTCTAGACGGAGGAAGAGAGATGAGTCCGAGGAGGATTCTACCCTATCCACACGGCGCCCAGGAAATGGGGGGCCTATTGATGAACTTAAGGACTTCAGAAGACATCCCGTCAGGGAGAAAATTGATCTCAAAGCCCGGTTGGAATCCAGGAGAAAGAGTAAGACTGTCCAGGATGAGGTCGAAGACGAGGTCATACAAACACGTTTTACCAGGGAGATCGGAGAGATAGAGGTTTCAAGAAAGTTCGTCGTGCCGAGATTCAAAACTTATGACGGACGGTCTGATCCCGAAGCCAATCTCAGGCAATACAAGCAGATGATGTCCCTCTATCATTCAGACCAACGGTTCCTCTACCGAGTGTTTCCTATGAGCTTGGGGGACTTTGCGATGAAGTGGTTCGAGGCGCTTCCCCCCAACAACATTGGATCGTGGATGGAATTGACGAGGCAGTTCCTGGCTCGATTCATTACGGGGAGTAAGCGGCCTAAAGATGTTGGATCATTGCTAACGCTCAGACGTAGGGAATCTGAGACCCTTCGCCAGTATGCCATCTGGTACTGGGAAGAGGTCAATGAGGTAGAAGGCTGCTCGAAAGTCATGGCAGCGGCGTCTTTCAGGCTCGGCTTGACAAGGGACACGGACTTGTACCGACCCCTGACCAAGAAGACTCCCTCGGATATAGGCGAGCTGATGGCCCGGATAAACAAATATTCAAGGATCGAGGACGAGATGGGAAGCAGCAAAGGCCGAACCCTCCAATCTAAGAGAAAAGAGAGGGAGCGGGAGGATGCTCCCCGAAAGGGACTCCTGCCCCCTCCAGGGGGGTCGTCCAAAAGAGTTCACACTATGTTCAAGGAACCCATCTTCAAGTTGCTCCATAAGATCAAGCATGAGCCGTTCTTCAAGTGGCCGCCTAGGATGCAGAGCGATCCCTCCACCCGTGATCAAAAGGTTAGGTGTTCCTATCACCTGAATTTCGGACATCGCACCGAAAGCTGCAGGGTATACAAATCGTTCTTGGAAAGATTGGTCCGAGACGGATACTTGAAAGAATACATATAGCCCAGGCCAGAAGAGAGACACACCCCTGCCCCGACCGAGGAGCCAGACAATGTCATAGATGTCATCCACGTATGTCCCCTAGATCGCCCCACGTCCAAGGAACTCGAGTCTGATCTCAAGAGGATAACTTTTACAAGGAAGATAACCGAGGATGATGGGGGGCCACCCAGTAAAAGGGCCAGGACTAGTGAGCCCAGCATCACGTTCTTCGACGCAGACTTAAAGGGCGTGGTGACTCCTCATAACGACGCCCTTGTCTTAACCCTGAAGATAGGTAAATTCGACGTCAAAAGGGTGGTGATAGACTCTGGAAGTTCCTCGGAAATGATGTACTCTGAAATTTTAAAACGGATGGGTCTTGGCCTCAAGGACCTCACCAAGGTCAGGACACCCCTCATCGGATTCAACGGCTCGTTCGCCCTGCCCATAGGTAAAATCACATTGCTAGTTGTCACGGGTCCCTTCATTATCAACATCGAGTTTGTCGTGATTGATACGGACTCTCCCTACAACGTGATCATGGGACGAACATGGCTGCATGCGTTTGGAGCGGTGCACTCCACTTATCACCTGAAACTAAAATTCGCCACGCCAGAAGGTATCATGGAGATCCGGGGGGACCAAGCGTCCGCAAAAAATTATTTTTATTCAGCTGTTAGAGCCGGGGCGTTCACCCAAGAAAAGGGGCGAGCACCGGAAGAGATCATGGAAAAATAACAATCACAGTCCGGACATCCAAGAATGGATGACCCCCGGATAGACCCAACTGAGCGGTCGGTGGAGGACCTCCGGAAGGTGCCCTTGGTGGAGGGAGAAGAAGAAAGATACTTCTTACTTGGAACCGCGATGCCCGCAGCCGAACAAGAGGAGATGATTGAGTTCCTTAGGAGAAATGTAGACATGTTCGCTTGGAACGCGATGGAAATGACGGGAGTAGACCCCGAGATAATCACGCACAAGCTGCATGTTGACCCGGCGCACAAGCCAGTCAAACAGAAGCCACGACGCATGGCCCCGCATCACGCCTGCGCGGTCAACGAAGAAATCGACAAACTCATGAAGGCTAACGTCATTCGAGAGATACAGTTCCCAGAATGGCTGTCTAACACGGTTTGCGCGAAGAAGAAGGGGGAAAAATGGCGTATCTGCGTAGACTTCACAAATCTAAACAAGGCATGTCCCAAGGACGATTATCCCCTACCAAAGATGGACCAGCTAGTTGAAGCCACTGCCGGATATGAACGCATGGACTTCCTGGATGTCCGAGCAGGATATCACCAGATCCCTCTCCATCCCCCAGATCAGGAAAAAATGACGTTTATCACTCCGAAGGGAGTTTACTGTTACAAAGTGATGTCGTTTGGACTAAAGAACGCTGGGGCGACATACCAAAGACTGATGAATCGGATGTTCAAAAAGCAGATCGGCAACACTTTTGGAGGTCTACATTGGCGATATGCTAGTGAAGAGCAAACGAAGTTGTGATCATCTGACAGATTTGGCAGATACCTTCTCCACCCTCAGGGAGTACGGGCTGAAGCTGAACGCGGCAAAGTGCGTTTTCAGAGTGGAATCGGGTAAATTTCTCAGATATCTGGTCAGTCAACGAGGAATCGAAGCTAACCCGGATCAGATTCAAGCGATTCTGGACATCCAGAGCCCCCGAACTGTCCGAGAAGTCCAAAAGCTCACGGGGATGCTAGCAGCACTTAACCGTTTTGTCTCACGCTCCTCAGACAAATGCAAACCCTTTTTCGGAGCAATCAAGAGTGCTGGGAAGGATATGTGGAGCCATGGGTGCGAAGTCGTCCTGGCTGGAATCAAGGAATACCTAAGGACTCTCCCGACCTTATCCGTCCCTATCCAGGGGGAAATGTTCTTCTTGTACTTGGCCGTATCTGAATTTGCAGTAAGCGGGGTACTTATTCGTGAGCATGAGCACCGCCAGAAGCCGATTTATTGCATAAGCAAGGCGCTCCTGGACGCAGAGACAAGATACCTGCCCCTAGAGAAACTGGCTCTATCTCTGGTCACCACTGCAAGAAAACTGAGACATTATTTTCAGGCGCACCCAATTACCGTCCTTATCGATCAGCCCTTAAAGGCCATTTTGAGGAAAGCAAAACTCTCCAGAAGGATTTCCAAGTGAGCAATGGAGCTGGGGGAACACGACATTCATTTCAAACCTTGAACCGCGGTAAA